CCTCCCCTCCCCTCCCCTCCCCTCCCCTCCGTGTCCCACAGGGTCTGTGTCTGACCCTCCTGCTGCTGGCCGTGTTCAAGAAGGCGCTGCCCGCCCTCCCCATCTCCATCACCTTCGGCCTCATCTTTTACTTCTCCACGGACAACCTGGTGCGCCCTTTCATGGACACCTTGGCCTCGCATCAGCTCTACATCTGACGGCGGGCCGGGCGCCGTGGGCTGGCGGCCCTGGGCAGGTCGTGACGGGTGCCCCCGCGTAGTGTCCATATGTCTCTGAGACTTTTCTTTCCTTGACGAGAAAGAAAGAGAAGGGAGTGTCGTGTTTACTTGGCGAAGAGGAAGAAGCAGCTTTTTGGCGCTAGTTGTTTGGTCGCCGGAGCACGGCTCACCGACCGAGGGACCGAGGACGGCCGTGTGGACGAGGACGGTGCGGCGAGGCCGCCTGGCCCGGCACCACAGCCCGGGGTGCTCCGCGGGCCAAGGCGAAGGAAGGGACCAGGAGTCCGTGCTGGGATGGCGCTGAGCACCTGCCCGCTGTGGCCGCAGAAGGAAGCCAGCGTGCCCTGCGTGGAATGTCCCCAGTGCTTCTGTCTGTGACGTCGTTGTTATTTTATTACCTTTAGAAGCCGGGTCCTGTTCTCGCTCCGGCAGTTACTGCTGTGAAGTGGCTTAATATCAAAATCAATAAATAAGTGAATCCTGTTGGAATGCTGGATTCGGTCCATTTCTAAGCGCCGAGCCCTCCCACCCCACGCGTCTCGTGGCCGCTCGCGGGAGGACGTGTGCTCCCGGCTCGGAGGGAGGACGCACCCAGGAGAGGGGCTAACGGCCCCGTGTGCAGTCATCTCTCCAGGTAGCTTGCTCAGCTGGGGTGTGCGGGGCGAGGGGCGCCCAACGGCCCGCAGCTCGGACGTGTGCGGGGCTGCTGGCCCTGGGCAGACCCCCCGCTGGCCCCGCTGTCTTGTCACCAAGACCAGCAGTGCGGTGCCTGGATGAACCAGTGTGCCCTGGGGCGGCACTCGAGAGCCCCGCTGTCGTCCCTTCTGCGGCCACCTCGGGGTGCCGTGAGGGGAGAGTGGACTGGCCGGCGTCTCCCTTTCCCCTCCGCATCATCCTGGGCCACAGAGAGAATCTCAGCGAAGCTTCCAGCCGGGCCCGAGCCCTGGGGCAGCCGAGCAAACACAGGCCTGTGGGTGCCGTCCTGACCGCGGCCCCGTGTCCTTGTTCCTGAAATGATGTAGGTGCCCTGCAGCTGTGTATTTGTCGCGAGAGAATGAAATCGTGTATTTCGACGTTTGACGTCGCTTGCTTTTCCCTGGGCTGTTTGTGGGAGAGCAGAAGGAACCGGGGAGCCCGGAGGCCAGACGCGGACTGGCCGCGGGTGGCATTTCCCGCGCTGGCGCTTGGAATCCGGACACCATGACTGCCGGTGACTAACTCACGGTCAGAGTCCAGGTGGTGGCATCACAGCCCGGAAAGCCAGAAGTCGGTGGGAGTCTCAGCAGATGAGGGCCGGTCCCTGGTGGTAAACGGGAGGAAAAGCTGGGATTAAATCGTTCGGGTTGGGAATTGAACGAATAGCTCGGGGGTTGGGGGGGGGGGTGTCCACAGATGAGTCCTCATTTGTTAGGTGTGGACAGTCGTTGCCCAAGGCCTGACCAGGGTGCTGGGGGCGGAGGCCACGTTTAGGCGGACAAGCAGAGGGTGGGGGGCCCTGCATCCAAGGGACCGACGGGGAGGAGAGCGGAACGGTGCCCGCGAGGACGCGCCAAGACAGAAAACAAGGGAATGTCGCTAGGCCAGGGTTGGGGGGGCGGCAGGTGACCTGCAGGGAAACAAAGGTATCTAAAGAGACGTTGCTGGGGAAGCCGGAAGCTGGTCCCGACAGCTGAGAGCCTGGGGCCCTGACCCAGGGGCGGGGACAAAATTGGTGGTTCAGACTTGCTGGGCGGGCACGTGCCTAGGTTCCCCACGTAACCAGCCTATCGGTCTTTATGTGTTTTCCCACATCTCCAGATTTTTAAAAATAAATCCTTAGGGGCGCCTGGGTGGCTTGGACGGTTAAGCGTCCGACTCTTGGTTTTGGCTCAGGTCACTGATCTCACGGTTCGTGGATTTGAGCCCCGCGTCCGGGATCGCACACGGGAACCAGCCGTGGTTACGGCGTCTCCCAAGAGCAGAGCGAGAACGATACAACGTATGGAGGTTGGGGCCTAGCGAGCCGACTCGTGTTCTGTTACCAGAGGCCGGTAACCTCTCTGGGCCTCTCTGGGCCTCAGTGTCTGACGCTCATAAAGCGAAGGACGTAGAACATGCTAGTGATTTGCCAGCTTGTGATCTGGAGCTGGGTGAAGGTGACCTGATGGCATTTTCACGGATTTTAGGAGGCCACGACAAGGCAGCTCAAACCATTAGCTACGACGGCAGTGAGCTTTGTAGACCAAAGTGGAGGAACCCCACACAAGTCTGGGAGGGGGGAAGGCGGGACCCCTGGCCCCTCGCCGGGGACTTCCGCTCACCATCCCTGGCTCGGCCCTACTGACAGGGTCCTGTGTGTTGAGGGTAGTTTGGAGGGGCTGGTGTGGGCAGAGGGGGACTCCGTTGGGACCCCGGACAGAGACCCTTCTGGATGGACCTGATCTGCTCTGATTTCAGGAGCGAGTTAGTTTATTCGTGCCAGAGAACTTACCCGTACTGGGTGGGCTCCAGGCAGCGTGGAGATACAGAAGGAGGAGACCCAGGTCTCAAGGGGCTCAGAGTCCGGTTCACTGGAAGTATGTCCAGAAGCTTCCAGAAGCCCAGTGGCAAAGCCAACAGCAGTGTGGAGCTGGTCAGAGGCGTCTGTGCGGGGCCCCCAGAGGCCACCTGCAGGGAAAGGGAGCCTCTCTGACTCCAGACAGCCACCCTGCGTCCCTGTGTCTCCAGGTGTGAAGGAATCCATAAAACACTCAGGCTGCTGTGTCTACAAGCACCTGTGGGCCCTAGTGGAGGGTAACAAATTGGTTAAATCAGGAGAGGCCTTGTCTTAATTTAGGCTCCTGGTGGCACACACCGTCAGGCGTGTGGATCTCAGGACAAGAACGGGGCACCGCGGTCTGGTTTGGTCGGTTCGGCGGTTCGAGGAAATCGTCATCGATAATTGTCTCGTTCTTTGTTTTCCCCTCCGGCGCTCCCACCTGCACGGAGCCAAGTGCACAGAGGCGAGGCGGGAGAGAGAAGAGAATGGATCTGTGTCATTTTTTGAGGTCAGTGGAAATCATTCTTCGAAGCGCCCCCCACCCCCACCCCAGGCAGATTTGCTCCCGAATCCTGAATCGGTGGGCACCATGTCTCTTCCCTGGACGACAAGCATGGGGTCGTCACGGCCAGTGGAGACCAGTAGGGTCTTGTTCCGTTGATCAAGTATTTTGGATCAATAAGTGATGTTGTACTTTTGCCTGGTTGGTCTAGACCTAAATCACCCGGAGGTGATTTTATTCTCCAAGGTCACCCCAACCTACACTGTTGGCCAACAATTGGTTTGACGTTTAGTTTATTCTTTTTATCTTGTTAGCTATCAGTGGTTATCCGCTCTGATCGAAGCCTACGCAAGGAGAAATATTTCTTGCTACTCATATTAGCATTATTGCTTGTATTGTTAAATTGATTAACCCGGTATTAAGTTAGCAGTTGGTTGCATATTTTTGACATTAAGATGTTTTCATTGTTGAGCTTGAACGCTTTCTTTTTTTTTTTTTAAAGAAACCATCTTTTTTTTTTTATGTTTATTTATTTTTGGGACAGAGAGAGACAGAGCATGAACGGGCGAGGGGCAGAGAGAGAGGGAGACACAGAATCGGAAACAGGCTCCAGGCTCTGAGCCATCAGCC